TCTGCAGTTGTCTCTTCGTCATATGTCACAATGTAATGTTCGTATCAATAAAATAACATGGGTTCCGCTATTAATTGAACGTTAAGAAGTAATGACGGAAATTTTTCTTTTTTTTTTTGGTGAAACAGTTCATAATTTATATTGCACGATTTCTCTTAACTTCTCCTTCTTCAGTCCGTTTACTTTTTTCTGCAACAAATTTTGCTGAAAATAATGATAATTGAGTGATGATATTTGTTGACGGAACAGTAAATCCATATTGTTTCATTTATCACCTCTTACCTGAAATAATTATAAACATCCAGCTGTTTTATCCATGCATTCCACGATCAGTTGCATCTCCCCTCCTCTCCTCCCCCCCCAAAAAATAGTTGTTCATCCAGAACACAAATATTATGATTGAGTATTTTTTTAAGCTTGAAAAGAGGTTGATCAAGTAGAAACGGGTTAGATGAAGATGTCTTCGTCTAATGAATACTATTCTTTTCATTCTCAACCACAAAGCGCATTCATTCCTTGCTGCGTTGAATTCTTCTCAGTGAATTTCGCGTCAATCGTTTTCTTTATTGATCAGTTTCTCAGAAGATCAGTCGTTGTTCATTCGTCTAAAAATTCACCAATTTCAGCCACAATCGAAGAGATGAATCGATTGAATCGCAACGACGACGATCCCTCGTTGTGTTCATCCGCATTTGATGGTGATCTTGATAACTGCTATTGTTACTGTTGTTCAGTATTATTATCATCGTGCATAATTGGTGGTGTTTTGGTAATGATTTAGGTTTGGTTCAATTTGTTGAGAACGTTTTGAATAGACGAATGCATCAAGAGCAATCTCTTCTCTTAGTATTATGCATGATGATGATAAGAGTGTCGTATACCCGTTCAAATCAATTATCAATTGACATACAAATTTTATGATGCAAATGAGCTATTATTTGCTTTCTTTTTGATTTGTTCTGTGATTTGTGATTTTATTCTTTCATTTATTTATGGATTTATGCATTATTGTTGAATTGATGATGAATTGTTGTTTTGTATTTTACTTGTGTTTCGAATCATTGCATGCATCCATCATTTTCAATAAATTTGATGTGTTCTATTGAAATGTACTGCACTCCTACTTACATGACATTTGACGTACTCCTTCGTCAAATCATTTCATGAATTTGGTTACGGTTTAATGCAAAACAACGATCCTTATATGTACGATCCGTATCAAAAATATCACCTAAACAAGTTAGAACAGCACACACTCTGAACTGAAGGAGAAGTGATCAATTCTGAAAAAAAAGAAGTATCTGTGATCATCTTGTTCGGAACAACAAGAATTTTTGTGACATAGAATTCAAGTGGAAACACTGAACGGCTAATTAAATAGAGCCCCATAAATAGAGAGATAGTGTCATGCGAGCAAGGCTATTGGTGGATGATAAGCGCCCCGCCCTTATCAGCAGCGAGAGATTCGCTGATATGGAAAACGAGAGACGTATTCTTGAAGAACGAATGGTATGGAGCAGAGGTGAAAATGAATGATAACAGTTGTTTTTGAGATGGGGAAGCAGGCAAGGAGGGAAAAAAGCGCATTACTAAACTGTAGAAAAGAACAGAATTTAATTCGTTGAAAGGAAAGGCGGAGATTCGCTGAGCATAATCAGAGTGCTGATTGGAGATGGATTAAAGAAATTAAGGGAAGCAAAGGTGTGAATGAACGAAAAGATGATAGGGGAAAGGCAAGGGAAGAATGAATAAATGAACGATTAGGAATGAATGTGAACACTTGAGACTGGCTGGTGATCGGTTCGAAGAAGACGACGAAGCAGAAGGGTACGAACGTAAGAAAACAGAAGTCTTAATTAAGTAGTTCGCTAATTAGTTGGTTGTTGTGCTGGACTGATTCGAGACGAACAAGTATCAGACAAGGTTCAGTGGCAGTAGCAGCGACAGATCTAGAGGATCAGCTGCGGATATAAAAGCGAGCTGAGGTGCTGGATCCGTTGCTGGAACAGTAGCGATTATTGTTCGATTCGAACTCTGCTACTGCTAACTGTTGTGGTTTTGCGCTTTCGGGCTCCTCCTTCAACTCACTCCGACAGATTATTGTCCTATCAGTTGTGATCAGCACTATACATCCATAATGTATTCAAGTATTTGGTGTCTGTTGGTGATGCTTACGGGTAATCTCATGCACCACGTGTTGTTTGTACGGTGCTGGCGGCATAACCACTCGTCTCCTGCTGCTGCTGCTACTGCTCCTGTATCGAACGCGCAAACACATTCCTATTCGTGTCGTGGCTGTGCTGAAGCTCGAGATCTGTTCGCGAAAATTCGCATTGAACAAATCAAACGTGAGATTCTCGAGAAACTCGGTCTCGACACCCCTCCCAAAGTTCGTCCAGCTGAAGGCTTTCCATCAATCCCTCAAGTGGCCAAGTATTTACGAAGTCATGTTCGACGGGATATTCATTCGTCATTCCTAACCGATGATCCGACCTATTATTACGCCTCAAATCAAGAACAACAACAAAAAACCGAGCAAACAATCATATTCGCTGAACGTGCTCCATCCGCCTACAACCAGAATCTATTGCTAGCCTATTTTCGATTCTCTCGAGAAATTATGTCGAAATCATTGCGAAGAGCATTCTTGTATGTCTTTATAAGGAAGCCAACAAATTTACATGCTGCATCACGGATTGGCACTGTTCAAGTTATCGTCAGAGAGGTGCTCAGAGATGGCAAGGTAAGTGAGTCGGATTGGTTTTTGCTTCATTCTTCTATTGATATTCTTTCATTCACTGATAAATGTCCGAACAGTCTTTTAGTTAGATGTACGTAGGTGCACGTTTCAGCTTGTTAGGCTTTTTCTTTGTCGACGGCGAGAATTTCTTCATGAATGTGATGAATGCTGGCAATTGTCGCTGTTGGTTTTGAGAGAGTTGTTCTATTCTTAGGTTATGCCAATTGGATATATGTTCCTTCTCGAATGTCAACTGCTTTTCTTGTGAATATGTCAGACTAAGTTGTATGTTGTTGTTTAAGCTCAGTGTGAGTTAGTTATGACCTACCTATAAGATCATATTCAATAATTGGTAAAAGCGGTGCTCACGCATCACATCAGAATTGCTTGCTTTGATTTAATGATCGTAATTATTTAGTACTAATGAAGTTGATACTGTTCATGGTAGTGCTGGTAATGGTAATGTCTTGAAAGTCGTTTTTTTTTCATTTTTTCCCACTCTTCAATGTGTAGTTCGTAATACTGAAAAAGCATTCTGTTCGTCGCAGTCAATCTTCAAGCATCTTACGAATAATCATTCGAACATTTTCAACGTCACCATTAAAAGTTCAAAACCAATTTGTAAAACTACCAACCAGATCAATAGCACTCAAATAGTCAGCGTTGATTGATCATCCAATTTCTATACGAATGTCAAAGTACAACTCAAACCAAACCCGAACCGAACCGAATTAATTCCAATGCGCTCTCGTAAATTTCTTCTCTCCTCGTATCAAATAAAGAGTACCGCATGCATTAATTAATTCTCACATCGTCTATGTAATATCATCAGTTTTTTCGCAGCGATAACGAGAAAATAGTTCCGTTGTCCACTGATATCTGCTGTGCATTGGTAATTTCATCCTTATTTTCGAATCGATTCGATTGAATCGAATTTCTATCGATCAATGATTAAATAATTCGCCGAAAAACAGCAAAA